GATTCATGCTGTATCGGATCCTTCGCAATGGCGATACGTAGACACAAAGTCAAACCCTGCAGATGAGGGATCAAGAGGAATTCATGCTTGCGAGATCACTGAGGATTGCAGGTGGCTTAGAGGTCCTGAATTTTTGTGGAAGGCAGATACAGAGTGGCCAATTATGCCAGTGAGCATCGATAACAAAGATCTTGAGTTCAAAACTCCACCTGTACATAGTTTAGCATGCCGAGCAACAATGATGGATGTAATACTTAGGTATTCAACTTGGACCAAGTTACTGAAGGGACTGGCTTGGCTGCTGAAATTTAAGAAATATCTACTTAAGAAGAGAAAGGGATCCGACGCTGGTACATTGCCTCACACTCTGTCACTTAAGGAACTAAAACAGGCAGAAATGGAAATAATTAAGCTTGTTCAGCATCAGGAATTTGGAGATGATCTGTGCTGCAAAAATCGAGGCAAGTCCATTCAGAAGCTAAACCCAGTCGTAATCGATGGAATTTTGCGAGTAGGAGGGCGAATATGTAATGCTCCGATCGACTCCGACCTGAAACACCCCATTATTCTACCAAGTAATCACCATGTAACCGAGTTACTGATCCAATATCATCACTTGATAGTTGGACATTCAGGTGCAGGCATGACATGGTCATCTTCGCGAGAGAGATACTGGATAATTAAGGGTGGTGCTACAGTACGTAAGGTGATTGGCAACTGTTTTGCATGTAAACGAAGAAACACCCCTCGTGTACAACAGATGATGGGAGAACTGCCAGCTGTGAGGGTAACTCCAGATAAACCGCCATTTACATACGTAGGCATTGACTATTTCGGTCCACTTTATGTGAAACAAGGGCGTAGCAAGGTTAAGCGCTATGGTTGCATTTTTACCTGTTTAACACTGAGAGCTGTACATATTGAACTGGCTAACTCGTTGGACACAGATTCATTTCTAAATGCTCTGAGAAGGTTTATCGCCAGAAGGGGCAAACCCGAGAAAATATATAGCGATAATGGTACAAACTTCCATGATGCGGATAGAGAACTTAGAGAGAATCTTAAAATACTAAAGCAGCGGAAAATAGAGAACTTTCTCCACGAAAGGGAGATCGAGTGGGTTTTTAACCCTCCAACAGCGAGTCACATGGGCGGTGCTTGGGAGCGGTTGATAAGGTCGACACGCAAGATTCTGAAGAACCTCCTTGGCGAACAAGTCGTCTGTGACGAAGTTCTAGCAACCGTAATGACAGAGGTGGAAGGAATACTTAATGCAAGGCCATTAACAGAAATTAGCCTTGATGCAAGAGACTGTGAACCACTTACGCCAAACCACTTAATTCTAATGAAACAGAGTCCTAGCTTACCACCAGGTGTTTTTGATAAGAAGGACTATGGTAAAAGGCGATGGCGGCAGGCGCAATATCTTGCCTCTATATTCTGGAAGAGATGGCGTAAGGAGTACCTTCCTCTACTTCAAACTAAACAAAGGTGGACAACACCAAACAGAAACATAAAGGTTAATGACTTAGTCTTAGTCGTGGATGATAACGCACCACGTGACCAATGGCCATTAGGGAGGGTCGTAAAGGTTTTCCCAGGGAAAGATGGTATGGTGCGTCAAGTAGAAGTGAGGTTGGGCTCTAAGGTTCTGATGAGGCCAGTGGCCAAACTATGTTTGTTAGAAAGGGCAAATACCGATTAAACATGCATGGCATGTATCGTTCACATCAGATTGATAATTCAATCCAGATGGTTTCGAGATTTCTATATTTGTTTAAGTTTTGGCTCTCCATGTATGGTATTCCTTCCTTAATAAAGATACAGACCCCGCCACCACATCTCCGTTTATGTTTTTTCCGTCTTTCAAAATTTCTGTCCTTACGAATAATAGTATATCTCTCAATATTTACTTGTTTGTCATGTATATCATTATCTAACCAGGTTTCAGAGATGCAAAGTATATCAAGTTTTGTTTTCATTAATAAGAAATGTAATTCATCCAATTTGTTTTTTATGCTTCTAATGTTTAAGTGGCCTATTTTTAATCCCTTTTGATTTGACAATTTTTTGGCACATTTCTCATGACTTATTCTTATATTAGCATCATATTTATAAAAGTTCTTCATATTTATGTTATTGTCATCATTAACGTCACTATCATTCTTAGCAAAGTTATCGACATCCACGTTATCCTCTTCATCATCCACATTGTCACTTTAAAAATCATCATCATCATCGTCATCCTCTTCATCATTATCATCATCTTCATCATAATCATGACCATTGTCATTTACATCATCATAGCCATTTCCATATATACATATTATTTAAATTATTATTTTTATCATCGTTATCATTATCATTAGCATCATTTTTATAAATATAGTTCATATTTATATAATTGTCATCATTAAATTCACTATCATTAACATTAATCCTCCCATCAAAATTATAACCATAAATGTTACCATGTACATCATTTTCCATAATAGCAGTGCTTTCGTTAGCCACATTGGATTCAGTTAATTTTAACTTTAACTTGGCCCCATTTTGTCGGCCAAACTGTCAATGTTCAGTACAGTTTCTCATCTTATGACCTCCTTACCGGATTTTAACATTTGATTGGGCGATTAAATCTGCAGTTTTCTTGTAGATGGTTTCTCTCTCCACAACGATGGCACCCCAAATAGTTTCCATTTAGAATGTATTGATATTTTTATGACCAATTCTGAGAAATGTACGTTTGTTTTGCTATTAGTCCGGATGAGTATAATGGTCTTAATGAACAGTACGATTGCCTTGATGGGTACGCTGGTAGAGATGGGTATGTAGGTCATGGTACAAACGATCGTGGTGTTGGGAGTAAGGTTCTACGTCTATGTGATTGATTGGATATTATGTTGAGTTGATGGGAATCGTTGGCTGCTGCGCTTTTTCTGTTTGAGTATGGTGTGGATTGAATTTATATTATATTGTAGCTTCCTGTGTTTGTAAGATGTAGTCCTCTTCTAGTAAGTAGTTGCGATTTTATTTGTCCCCGAAATTTGAAAGTTATATCATATATCATTATCAATAAGTGTGTATTGTTTAGTATTGCATATGTCTTTTATTGCGTGGTTAAATTTCGAGACCCTAAAGTTATTTTCCTTTGTGTCCAACCTAGGGCGTATTGTAGATAATATCATTTCAGTACTTGGAGCAATGTTTTCTATTTTATTCAACATGTTTTTGTAATTAGTTATTTCATTTCATTTATTTGTCTCAAACAATTAGAATGTTCGTAAATAGAAACGGCAAGGAACAATCACAAAAGTACAAAAAAACAGAGACAGGACACTCCAAAAGTAAAATCAGTCACTGCCGAGTGGAGGCCCTTTACCAGAAAAACACAATACATACAATATAAAATTCTTCAGAAAGATAAAAAATCGAAAGATTATCCCTCTTTCAAGATCGTCATCGTTAGTGCAGTTGCTTGTCCCAACGTGTACAATTATGACATCGTAGTCCACCTCAATCTCACATAGTTTGTCAGACACATTGATTACCTTTGCACCTCTTCAACATTTTATATCGGTGTTGATTAACCCTTTTCGTTGACATCTCTTAAAAGTCTCCTATTAGTAATGTATTAATTGATGTATCTTCTTCATCTACTACTGCAGAAGGGTCGGTTTCAATGTGTATTTCTTTGCTAATCGTGGTAGGTCTGTCTGATATTTCAGTGTTTATCTTGTCAGAAGATGAATTTAGCGATGTGTTTGTTTCTCCTTTCTGTTGAGATTCCAGTTGTTTTATTGATATTTGTTGTTCAATTACTTTTAGCTCCAATTTATCCTGTCATTTATTTTCTTCATTAGTGTAGAAAAGTGATGTGCGTAGATCTTGCAATCTTCTTTCGTGTCTTTCTCTACATTGTCATTTTTGTTATTTTTTTTCATGTGTTTCATGAAATGGTAATCCTAATTTTTGAGCTATTATATCAATGTAGTTTTCGGTTTCTGTAATATCATAGTCGTCAGAAGATTCGTCGCAATGTTTCCGAAAGAATTAATTTTGATGTATGGGGGGATATTCGTCAAGCGTTCTTTGTAATATCGGTAGTGTATTTGATAAATTACAATTCGGTGGTGGTAGATCCTTATAGTGTTCAGCTTGGGTGGTGGGGGTGAGTGTTTCCTCCTGGTGAGTAGACATGATAGAGATAACAAGAAAGAAAGATCCTACCGTTGTACGTCAATGACTACTGTGTATTCCAAGACTATACCGTATTTCCAACACAAATTGATTCCAGTTAATACTGGGCCTCAAAGGTTCGTTTGTTCAATAGCGTCACTTCATCGTAGCACCGGTATACAAACCGCTTTGTTACCTGTAATTACACGGTATATAGATTCCGTGTATTCTGTGTAGAATAGGTGCTGGAATAGGCACATTTACTTGCGCTCTAGTCAAATTAAGCTCGGTTTTAAATGATTTAATACTCAATTTTTATGTTCGTACACTCCCTACAGCAACATGTAATAAATACTATTGATTTTTTTCAATAAATATAACGGTTTTTTACGAAATTTTGTATACGTCCGTTAAGATTGGCGCAATCATTAAATATATTTTCTGCTCCCTATTTAACTTTATAACCAGAAATTGAAAATCTTTGTCTTTCTGTACCGTACCAAAATCAAGAGCAGACTAAGATTTCGGTGCGGTAGCGAAGGGGGTTGGGGCTCTCAATTCAGTTTTAATAATTATTTCAACTATTTTGCTTTAAAAATCGGCGCCATAATCAGAGATGCATTAGCTCATTTTGAAAGATTTAGCAATTTGGCCGAAACTTAATTAATATTTTTCATAGAGATAAAGACATTTTTTTAATTAAAAAAAAATCTTCAGTTATATTATTATAAAATTTGTATTGCAATTTTTTATTCTTCGTTTTGTATGTTGTGTGTCTGAACTATGTTTGTGTGTTTCTTGGTGTGTTGCTGTGTCTTCATGTGCAGAACATCTGTGTGCGTTTGTGGTACAGCAAGTGTGTCTGTGGGACGAGCAGGATTCCTTAAGTTGGATTGACACTATGGAAATGCCCATTACGACACAGTACTTTTAATTTTCTTCATGTATGTAAGCCTACATATTTATTTATTAAATACACAATTAAAGAAACAAAATCATGAGTGTGTTATCTAGAAAGTCTACATGAAAGAAAAAAAAATTATATAGGATAAGTTATAATGAAATGGACTGAGTTATTGCCCTCAAACGGCAAAAGGAAGTATGGGACAAGAAGATAGTTTTGATAAATCAAGCAAAACGTGTTTTTGCATTAGCTCTTCTAAATGATGAAATATATTTATATGGTTTCATATGATTTTAGTACATAGTTAGAAGGTCATTATAGATATAATAATAAAAAAATATTAAAAAGTATAATTTAGCCTAAAATATACTTTCTTTTGCTGTGGTATTGCATGCCCAGAATGTTGGAAAATCCCATTTCTAAAGGAAGCAAATACGCAAGCATACTGAATCTAATATTTATATTTGAAAATACAACTTAAAATTGGTGTAACAGTCTTCACTACATAAAATATGGCTCAAACAATTTTATTGATTAACATAAATCATATATTTTAATTAAAATTCTGACTTACATTAATAACAAATATGCTAAAAAATATTAGTTTACGTGATAAATCTAGGCGAGAATATAAATAGCACAAAAGGTGTTGAGGTAAAATCCTCTAAAAATTGATTTTTAATAATTGTAGGTTTACAAAGGTAAATGTTTTCCATCGTTATTCCCAGTAGGCTGACCTGTATTTAATAATGAAATTTCAAACACTTATATTTCAATAACCAATTGATGAATGCTACAAAATTCGTTAAAAATGGGTATTTATTAATAGGCCTACTGTATTCTTAGTAGATAATCTGGATGGACTGCCTTCTATATAGACGGACAGTCAGAGATATTATAAATGAATAAATCATTAAATAAATAATTTTTTTTTTTTTTAAAGTACATTTACCCTTTATACACATTCACATTTACCTCATTATGACACGTTGAGTAGCAAATTCCTACTTTGTTGCTCATGTACCGTATCCATTACATAAAATAAAATCAATTATTCTCAAATTTATAAGGCTTAAATGTGCTATAATTATTAGTGACCTAATATGAAAATGGCAGCACTTTATATTATGTGTTTGTTCTTCATAGAGAGTCTCGATAATTATGGTTAACCGTGTTGAAGTTTATCGAATGCCTCGACAGGTATACAGTACCTGAATTATAGTACAGTGCACCCTTCAATTCGAGACCCTCTAATCACTTTTTCAATCAACTAAACCTCTAATTGGAGACCGAACCCTTAGACCACTTTATTTCAGGTCCCAAATTGGTCTCGAATTGGAGGACAAACTGTATGGTGAAAATTTTATAATGGTTCCTACCTGTAATTTGTGGAAGAGTTGTAGGACGAACACCTGCACATCTAATGACCACTACAACACGTGCACGGTGCAGATCTTCTACTTGGTGCTCCGTTATTTTATTAAAAACAAGAAAGAAATTTCTAAACAAAATATCAATGAAACATTCAAAATAATTTCAACTTTCAAACTACTCTACAAACGTGTAATATATTATATAATATGCCAATATCCAAAATTTATCCATCACATACAGTAGGTTGA